GATGTAGACTTTCTGTACCCACTGTACGACGGGAGCGAAAACAAATAGTTGGTCTTTCTCTCCAGAAAGCCACCAATAAATAATTGGTGCTTTCTTATTGCAATAATTGCGGCGCCAATTATCATTCGGCATCCCCGCTTTCACCACCAAGTACAGCAAGAGTGAGAAGTCATGGGGTGCTTTCGAATCTGTAGTGGAGCAGCTATGCCAGTTGACCATTCCAAGAGCACTTGCCTTGTAGTCAAACGGAAGACCCCGTTGGTTTTGGTTCAGCAGCACAACGCCCATCGTGTGAGTGATTACGATCGGTGGGAACAAGGTCGTCTCTCAGTCGAGGGAGTATCGTGAATCTGAGAGTATCATCTTGAGCTCTTCCCCGCGTAGATTACGGTTTACGTTCGTTAGCGCTCTGCACAAGAGATGCAAGTAATCGATTCCGTTTTCATCCTTCCTCGCAAGTAAAGACACAGGCTTATCAAAAGCCGAGATCAACATTTTCACGTCCTGACCTCCCCTCAACGTCCGCACTTTTTTGTGAGGTGACTGGCCGAGATTGGGATTTCCACTAGCCACATTCCTCAAAGCTGATGCCAAAGACTTGTCGAAAATCGGTGGAAAAAAGTCGGTTACGACAAATATTTTGCTGAGTAGCTGGCGTCGTCTGTGTGTTCAAGTCGACCACAGCGTCCATACCGAACAGGTCGAGCTAGACATTCTTCGTCGACTCTCAATTCAAGCACAATCATTCCAGCGCATTAATCAAACGATCAGCGATGTTTGGGCATTCGAAGAAGAATGAGAAGAGATGCGGGGTAGCTGCCGAAAAGTTGGACGGTTGCTTGATGTTCCGTCCGCAGACGTACAGGAACCGAGCATCGGATAGTTCACTTCCTAGCAGATCCATCGTGGGACCAGCGGGCTTTTTCGCGACCTCGTACAGATTCTACTCTTCCCGAAGCCAGCGCTCTGTATTATCGTCACGTACAGGTCCGCTGTAGTAACTCGAACAGCATCGCATCAGATACTGGAAGAATCTTGCGTCGGCGTCTCCCGAGAAGGGACCACCAAGCGCTTGGTGGAGATATCCGACCATCACCAAGTCACTCTTGGTCTGTAGCTCGTCATTCAGATTTTTTTCACCTTCGCCACGATAACGCGCTCAAGCGGGACGTATCTACATGTATCTGTTAGATATAAAATCTGATAGATACATGTAGATACGTCCAGCTTGACCCTCTTTGTGATCGAAAAGCATTTCTGTGTTTCTTATCAAATTCCGCAGCAGGGTCTCGTTTATATCCACTTGCGGAGTTTGGTCGGCATTGCGGAAAGGCAATTTCTCAAAGAAAAATATTGCTCCAAGACCTCCCATAGGAACCTGGACACCTTCATTGTCACTGTCTGCGGCGGTTTCGCTTTCGTTTTCATTATTCTTTTTTGTTGATTGTTCTCCGTGCCTCGATGATGAACCAGTTGATGGAGACTGTGAGTCCCACGACAAGGAAAAGCAGCACGGACACATGGAACGAGTCCTCCAGCTCCGTGTAGATGACTGCCAGCATCACGAAGAACACCACATTCAGCACGATCACGAACTCGCGACTTCCTGGCCGCCGCACATTCTGCATCGCACTTGAGTCTGCCTTCCAAATGGTACCGACCACCGACTTTATCAGACCTGTACCAAAACTAGGGTACGTCATTTCAAAGAAACCCAAAAAAAAACCATTATATTACACCACAGATTACATGTACTGTATAGTCAATTAGGGTCAGGGATCCTCAAAAATATATTTACTGAAAATATATTTTTTTTCATTGAGAAATAGTTTACTTATGGTCTGGCCACAGCTTGAAAATTTATTTTTGGATTTTATGAATTCCTACACGAAATTGATTGTCAGCCACCAGATTTTCGTTGGCTCTGAGCTGTCTGCAAACTTGTGCCGCCGAGTCAAACTCACTTTTCAATTCGCACACAGCCCAAACTACCAACTCTCGCAACCTTCGCCATGTCCGACGCTTCCCTGATGCCTTCCCAGCACTCGAGGAGCATGTTTTCCCCAAAACCATTAATCTAGTAACACGATCATGTTTTGATACAAATACTTATTTGCCACAGTCGCAGCACAAATTATTTATTTGCAGATTTCCGATCTACCATGCAGGTATTTATTCTCATTAAACGAAGAAATCCATATAAATTATATTTTGAGCAACCCTGATTAGGGCCGCCTTCGCTCCGCTCGGCAGTCAGTAGAACGTGCGTAGCTGCGTTACCACTAGAGATGGGGGGGGCGTTTAGTGGTTTTGGTGCTATGTCTGGATGAGTCCACTGGTGAAGTAAATTTAACAAGGCCACTGTAGTAGGCGCTACAATGGGTCTAACATAGAGAATAACGCTTTGCAGGCTAACATTTTGTATTTTTTTAAGAAAACTGGTTTGTATGGCTAGGCTTCGTACTAAAATACCTACGCTTATTTTTTTGTGATATGTCACGTTTTGAATCCTAAATTTATTGCCAAAACAGCAGACAAAACGTTTCGGCCACCACAAAGGAGTTATTATGGCGTATGTCTAGCTGACAAGCCACTAATTTTCAAGTATTTTGCTTTGTCACTGGGAGGCCCAAGTTGCGTTCTTCTCCGGTCCATTAAAATGTTAACCGCTCACTAAACTTGCGATAACTTCTGTTCTACTGACTAAATGTATCTGGAACAAGTTTCGCTGTAGACTCTTTATTTGCACTACCCTGAAGTATTCCTTAGATAAACAAAATTCTCGTCAAAAGCGTCAATTACCGGCCATTCATATGATCACTTTATAAAGGTCTGATGGTTTTGCTTGCAGCACCATCAGAAATAGTCAGAATCAAGCTTAAATAATCCTAAAAAAGAGGATAAAGAGCTTATTCCAGCAATATATTACCTAAAGCAATCTTCATGATCGTTTCAAAAACAGCCAATCAGCCTGACATACAAATCAGACGATAGACGGTCTACTGATGCATTTTTATCAAATAACATTTGTCAGAAAAAGGTCGTCGACCAATCTAATATAAAATGTTTTTAATAAACAAAACTGACTACTATTTATTTGTAGGACCGGAGAAGTATACGAAGCTCAAATTACAAAATTCGGCCTCTACGTCGAAATTATTTTATTATAAAGTTATCGTGTCTAGAAAGTGATATTACCGTAGATATATAAAGCCACGCATGTAATCCGCCTTAAAAATGTTGTAATTCTTACACAATCAGATACTGCTGAATTGTCTATTTTTGTCACCTCGTTTTGTCATTTTCACAAAACAAATGTTCCAGAGCACTAGATAAACCCTTCTCTTCGAAATCTTGATCGGGCTTCGTAGAGCATTGTAAATCGAATCAGTGCTGAACTTGTCCAAGTGCTAATGATACAAGCTCAAATTACCATCAGGATAAATTCATTGTCAAACAAAACAACACGTTCCATGTGGAGGAACTTGTGATGCCGTTGTGTGACGTTAGGAATTCGATTATTATCTCCCCCACACTCTCACGGCCAAAAATGCCCCCTGTTCAGTCCTTAACATGTTGCTAAATACACCATGTTAATGCCAGCCTACAATTGATATTTGTATTGCCTGCAATAAGTACGAGACCGTTTTATGAATTGCGGGAAATTGGTCAAATCGACTATGAACTCGGCGAAGTGCTCTGCACCAGCGATGTCGTCACATACACCATCGCGTACTCAAGCGGATTAAACATGGAGTATATAATACATTAGAATTTGACCCGTTTATTTGAAATGAACAAAGGGTAAACATATCAGCCCAGTTATGTTTGTCAACTTCA